GTATCCCGCTTTCAAATGACTAAGTTAGCCAGGGAGAAGGGTGTGTGTGTTAAAACGTAGTCAAGCTGACCTCTCTGCCGCCCGGCTATGGGCCTGCTCAGCAGAGGGGCCATGAATTTTGGTTCTGAGTTGTCCAAGGGTGGCTGATGTTTGAGCTCAATTTGTGTCTTGTTTAAGTTCTTTGATCTGGAGAGTTCAGCCCAGCAATACCAATAGGGTAGCTGAGCCGGTTCTGTTCTGGACTTAAGTGCTTTCAGGTTTTTAAATTCGAATGTACTGCCTACTGCACCCATTTCTAAGCAAAGCCCATTTTTTGCATAATTTCTCTACCTGTCTCTTTTTCATTCCTGGCTGAACAGGTAGCTGATTCCCATCCCAGGCCTCAAGCAAGTCTTTCATGGGGGAGCCTATTTTGACCCTTGAGCTAGAGCAGTGGTTCTCAACCTTTTTAATGCCGCGACCCCAACCGGTCGTAAGTCGAGGACTAAACCGGTCGTAAGTCGAGGACTAAACCGGTCGTAAGTCGAGGACTAAACCGGTCGTAAGTCGAGGACTACCCAACAGGTCGTAAGTCGAGGTCATAAGTGTGAAAAATGGTCACAAGTCACTTTTTTTCAGCACCATTGTAACTTTGAACGGTCCCTAATCAAGCAGTCCTAAGTCGAGGACTACCTATAGTTATTATTTCTGCTTCACCATTGTAATAATAATTATTTTTTCCATCAGACCCCCAAGGCACCCAAATTCACTTCCAAACAGAAATTCATTTTATGTTTGCAAGTGAATTGTGTTATTTTTCCTGGCAGGGATGACTCAGATTTCCACGGTTCCTGACTTCTGGCCAAGTTATTTCAAAACAGGGCAGGCGATGAAATAATTTAGTGGAGCCCAAAATTCCTGTTATTAAGTGAGACATTTGTGAAGTGAATTTTACCTCATTTACAACCTTTCTTACCACAAGAATCACTGAGGTTGTTAATTTAGTAACATGGTTATTAAGTGAATCCGGCTTCCCCATTGACTTTGCTTGTCAGAAGGTCGCAAAAGGGGGAATCATGTGACCCCAGGGACGCTGCGACCACCATAAATATGAATCAGTTGTCAAGTGTCCAAATTTTGGTCACGTGATCTTGGAGTTGTTCCTGTTGTAACTTTGAACGGTCACTAAACGAACAGCTGTAAGCCAAGGACTACCGGTATAAATTTTCTTAAATAAATATATCAGAGCATTTTTCAGCTGAAAAGTTGTTGGATACAAGCTATAAAATATATTCCAGGCAGCTCTCGACTTACAAGCATTCGTTTAATGATTATTCAAAGTTACCAAAAGCAATGCTAAAAATGTGACTTACAACCAGGCCTCACCCTTATGACCGTCACAGCATCCCCACGGTCAGGTGATCAAAATTGGGTCCTTTCCAACTGGCATGTATTTATGACCGTTGCTAAGTCCTGTGGGAAGAATCCAGAGAAAGAAATATTTGGGGAAATATTAAAGAGGTAGAATATATTTCCCCAAAAGATTTTCAAGACAGAAACCAACCGCCCCCCAGGTCTCTCTGCCCCAAACAGAAACCAGGTCTGCAGAAATGCAGATGTGATAATCTTGTATGAAAGATTGGAGTCAGGAAACAGA